GCTCTCTATCGTCACCACCTCCTCCCCCGGCCCCACCACCGAGCCTTCTGATGTTGGGAAACCATGCACTCTTTTTTCTTACTCTTTCAAATCCAGAAATCTCAAGAGATATTTACTGCAATGCTTCTCACTTCCATGAGATTAATTGAGCTACCATCACTCTTGGTGTCCTCTCTAGATCACTCCAGATAATTCCAAATCTTTACAAAAGCATTTCTTCATTTCTCACTTGGAAGTAACTTCTTTCTCTTTCTAGAATTTCATTCATTCCTTTCCTGAATCTTTTTTATTTTTTCTTTTTATTTTCTTTGATTAAACATTGGTCCTACCTCCTTCATAGACATAAAACTAGACGATAGACTCCTTATCCGATCACTGAAAAAAAACAAAAGGAAAGTTAATATATGGATATGATGAAATTGGATGCAAATTAAATATTTTCAATATTATTTTACAAAATCTCATTAAGTTTATGTCCTATGTGTTAGGATTAAACACTAATTGATCTTTCTTTAACATTATCATTATCCTTGTTACTTACAGTATTGTCTAAAATGAGTCACCCTATCATTAAGCTGTGTTTTCTTTTGAGTACATGCTTATACATAAATCCAAAGACTAGGAACAGATAAAACTTTATGTGCCACCACCATCACCCCCATATTCCTGCTTTACCTGCGTGGTTATCTGGTTCCTCTTCTTAGTTTTTCCATAGAAACTTGGTTCCAATACTCCTAGATTTTTGAAAGGTCTTTTAGAATGGATGACATTGTCTACAAGGCCATCCACTAGAATAACTGTGCCTGAAAATGTTGCAAGATCTCAGAGATTATGATTGTGTTAGTCAGCTTTGCATTGTGACAAAACACCTTAGGGGACTAAATGAAAGGGGGAAAAGATTATTTTGGCTCACATTTCATAGGTTTCAACCCATGGTCAGCTGGCTCCACTGCTTCTAGGCCTGTGTGAGACGACAGGTAACCTATCAGCTTTCTAACATGTGATAGTATGCTTAACTGTGTAATGATAATTCACCTGTCCTGTCTCTTTGTAACAATCCAATTGGGTGAAGACTGTGAATGTTCTCTAGTCTTTTAGTCTTTTAAGTTGTTGTACTGCAATGGAGGAATGCACAACCATATACATTCTTCTAGTTGAATGTTTTGGCCTTGTAAGTCAAGCATCAAGCAAACCTTTCTTTTAACCCTGTTGCTTTTTAAAACTATAGCATATAATATATTCACTATATTGAAAGTAAGACTAAGAAAGTCTTCCTCATATTTTATAGATGTGGTTGAGTTGATTGTTGTAAGCCTCAGAACAAAACTAGTACCAATGAACTAATTAAATATAAGTACAGATGGAGTAATTGTCTCCTTAGCAACACTGCATAGCTTCTTTATCTTTCAGGTGGTGGGTTGTATCTCAAGGACAAAAATGTGAGAATTCTCATGGAAGCTGTGTCGGTTTCTGTGGCCATGAGTGATATATCTGAGGGAAAACTTGAAAGGAGGAGAGCTTTGCTAGGGGTTTCAACCAGTGACTGACACTGAGGGATGGCATGGGGGAAGAAAGACGCCTGTTGCCTGTTGAGGCATGCAGAAGCAAAGCAAAAGTCGCTAGGGATGAGACGCCTTCCTCAGTTACGCCCCCACTGACTACTTCCTCTAGCAAGACCCCAGTTCCTGAAGTTTCCATCTTCCAGTGGAACACTAAACCTTCAGCATTTGAGTCTGTAGGAAGCATTTCATCTTAAAATCATGACCGAAGCTCTTTTTAGTCTTTTATGATATCCTTATACAGTGTATAGTGTAACTCAGTGAAGAGTTCAGAAGAATCAAAAAGGAGGCTAGAAGACAGAAAATTCAAAATTTTGCTATCATTATTATTGCTAGTTGACCCAAATCTCTATTAATTGATCCATTGGAAAGTCAGATCAATATAGTAAAATTCAACTAGTCTTTCCAAATAATGTAAGTTTGTAAAGCTCACTCAAGAAATGTATGACATTTCTTTCTATGTTAATCTACTGAAATAGACCATTGCTTCATTTCAAATTAGAAAGTTTCCCAGGAATTTTAAATTAAATGTCCTAAAACTACTATTTGTTACATTACTCTTTAAATAATCCACTAAAGAATGTTTTCTGAAAGTTTCTTGAATTGACAGCTTTTCATAGTCAATAGAGCATATATCAGATTGCATATCTTAGATTTCTGACTTCCAACAGTCATGATAGAACTATACTATATCCATTTTCTTACAAAGAAGAAGATATTTAAGAAAATATTTTCCATATTGTTTAAATCACTTTTAGCCCAGCATCAACTCTCCTGATGTAAGATAACTACAAGACATAGATGGACAAGTATATAAGATATTTAAAACTTTGTTGAATTCAAGTTTATAAATTCTCATAAGTTGCTTTCCCACAACCCAAAATGATATTAAGAGTGCTAAAAATACCAATATCTCAATTTTATGTGTCTTAAATAATGGACTTGGGGATGGATTGACGGCTCAGTGATTAAGAACCCTTTCTGGCCTCTGTGGGCATTGCATGCACATGGTGCACTTACATACATGTAGGCAAAACACTCATGCACATAAAATGAAAATAAATAAAATTTTAAATAATGAGCTTACAGAGCTGGAGAGATGACTCAGCAGTTAAGAACACATGCTGCTATTCCAGAGGATCTGAGTTCAGCTCCCAGCACCCATGTCCAGGAGCTTGGCTCACAAATGCCCGTAACTCCAGCAGCACTGCACTCACCTGCACAAACCCACACACACAGAAACATACATATATACGCATAATATAAAAATAATACCTGGTCAAGGAGGCAAAAGTGGCTCATGTCCCCTGGCTGAGGGTGAGGTGGTTACCAAACAACAGAGCTGCTGTACATAATGGGGGCAATGCTTCAGGCAGAGAATCCAGTCTCCTTGGGAAGGAGCAGGAAGCTGAGTCTCCTCCTTCTAGGAGACTAGGTGAACCGTTGCCCGGTTGTGAGTGCAGAATTGTTGTCTTGCTTTCATTTCTTACTGTCTGATGGGGCTGGAGTAGCTCTGTGGACCACCTCCTTTTGCTATGGCTGGTTGTGGAGGCTATGCACAGATAATGAAGCCTACAGCTGCTGTGGCCACTGCCCTCATGGGGAAAACCAACATCAAGATAATGCTGATACAACTGTGGACTTGTGAAGGGCCATGGTGACCCACTTTGGTGAGAATTCTCACTGCTCATGCCGTTTGAGCTCTCTGTTCCTTGTTCAGGATACCACATACCACCAGTTCTCAGCCCCCTTCATCCCCCAGTTCAATCAGTTCTGAGCCTCATGCAAAGCAAAGGTGACTCTACGAGGAAATTTGCATTTGGGGATGAAAGAAAGCTGCTTGGTGGTAGAATACATTATTTCTTTCAAAAGCAGATGATGGGAACATTTGATTTTCTGTACTAGAGTTTTCAGCACTTCTGCACTGTGCTTTACCAACTGGAGGTAGGTTGCTTTTGTGTTCATCAACACTTCATGGACAGAAACACAGTCTGTTTCCTGTGGATTTGCACAGCATAATGATTAGCATGTGTGTATGTCTTTTCATAAGTTCATGTTCCAGAACTGAGAAGTAGAAATAAAGTTAGAGTGTCAGAGCTAGGGGATAGTACTCTTTACCACTAAGGGGCAGAATGCTTCAGGTAAGTAGTTCTGAAGTCTTCCACCTCCTGATGTAACCTTGGTTTGATCCATAGGTACGTTTTAATTTTGATTGTTAATCCATTCTCACTGGGTTTGTAGAGCATGCTTATAGGTGTAATGCCAAATTTTAGTGGAGGGATCCTCTGACAAACAGGAAGTGATTACATTTTGTGGTGTTAAGAGACATTATGAAACTTTGAAAGCACAGAAGGAAGAACTAACTGCCTAGTCCAAAGTGTGTAAAATACTGCTCATCTATCTTTTTAAAGATATGATAAACTCAGAGTTTCACACGCACAGACAGGATCACAATTTCAATAAAAAGAGAAGTTGTGCTTTGTTGGCTAGATTGGTATATTAGAAAAAAAAAAAGCCATAAAGGCAAGTGCCTTCAGAGAGCTGATAGAGATAAATGTGGAGTCTACATGTGAGTAGCATTTGAAATGGACTTAAAATGCCCTTTAATGCAGACTTTTCTAGCTTTCTCTTAACCGGGCACATTGTTTTCATGTCTGCCCCAGGCATATGCACATCATTAGAATGAATCTATAGAAAATGATTACTGTTTGGAAATGAGCAAAACATTCTCAGGCATGACCACCCAGATGTAATAGAACATTCAAATGGGAATCTCTGAGTTCTAATGTAAACTTTCTTCATGACACCAAGCCTTCAGCTTCCTTATCTGTAAAACACGGTGGTCCAATGAAATTCTCCTCTTCCTTTGCTATAACAGATTATGTCTGTGGGAGAAAAATGTCAGTGTAAAGGCTCCTTACAGCTCTCTTCTGTTCTAGTGTACTGATCATGCCTAGACACCACATAACTAGAGTCCCATACCACCCTCAGGCCACTACTGTTTTTGTCACACATTCCTACAAGGACTGTGCTGCTAACTTGAAAGATTAATATTCCATTTGCAAGCGCTGAGTTGTAACACTTGTGATTGTTTTTTGTGACAGCATGAGCAGAAATCATTAAGAATTAAACTCTCAAAGCTGCTAAAGTGGGAGGAAATAGGAGAAGTCAAGCCACAATTTTTTCACTTGCTAGAAACCATTTAATCTTGGGTTTATATGCTAAATCTTGGGGAAAACACTGCATGTCTCTGGTTTATATTAAGCCACATATAGCACACTTCTGACATTGATTTGTGTCTCCTGCAGCTGGAGTTGATCACTGAGACATAAAAAACCTTGACCCGGCAGAATGGTCTGGAATTACAATCAGATGGGCCACATGGGCCCTGGGAAAGAAAGCTCTAACCCGTTTTTGTCTTTCTCTGCTTCCTCCCTACAGTTCCACCAGGTGAGAAGAGTGATGACCATCCTTTTCCTAACTATGGTTATTTCATACTTCGGTTGCATGAAGGCTGCGCCCATGAAAGAAGCAAACGTCCACGGACAAGGCAGCTTGGCCTACCCAGGTGTGAGGACCCATGGGACTCTGGAGACTGTGAATGGGCCCAAGGCAGGTTCGAGAGGTCTGACGACATCATTGGCTGACACTTTTGAACACGTGATCGAAGAGCTGTTGGATGAGGACCAGAAAGTTCGGCCCAACGAAGAGAACAATAAGGACGCGGACTTGTATACTTCCCGAGTGATGCTCAGCAGTCAAGTGCCTTTGGAGCCTCCTCTGCTCTTTCTGCTTGAGGAATACAAAAATTACCTGGATGCCGCAAACATGTCTATGAGGGTCCGGCGCCACTCCGACCCTGCCCGCCGTGGGGAGCTGAGCGTGTGTGACAGTATTAGCGAGTGGGTCACAGCGGCAGATAAAAAGACTGCAGTGGACATGTCGGGTGGGACCGTCACAGTCCTGGAGAAAGTCCCTGTATCAAAAGGCCAACTGAAGCAATATTTCTACGAGACCAAGTGTAATCCCATGGGTTACACGAAAGAAGGCTGCAGGGGCATAGACAAAAGGCACTGGAACTCGCAATGCCGAACTACCCAGTCGTACGTGCGGGCCCTGACTATGGATAGCAAAAAGAGAATTGGCTGGCGTTTCATAAGGATAGACACTTCCTGTGTATGTACACTGACCATTAAAAGGGGAAGATAGTGGATTTATGTTGTATAGATTATATTAAGACAAAAATTATCTATTTGTATATATACATAACAGGGTAAATTATTCAGTTAAGAAAAAATAATTTTATGAACTGCATGTATAAATGAAGTTTATACAGTACAGTGGTTCTACAATCTATTTATTGGACATATCCATGACCAGAAAGGAAACAGTCATTTGCGCACAACTTTAAAAGTCTGCATTACATTCCTCAATAATGTTGTGGTTTGTTGCCGTTGCCAAGAATTGAAAACAAAAAGTTAAAAAAAATAATAAATTGCATGCTGCTTTAATTGTGAATTGATAATAAACTGTCCTCTTTCAGAAAACAGACAAAAAAAAAAAAACAAAAACAAAAATTTGAACCAAAACATTCCGTTTACATTTTAGACAGTAAGTAGCTTCGATTCTTGTTAGTACACTGTTTTACTGCTTTTAACTTCTGATAGCGTTGGAATTAAAACAATGTCAAGGTGCTGTTGTCATTGCTTTACTGGCTTAGGGGATGGGGGATGGGAGGGGTCTATTTCTGTTTGTTTTGTGTTTTATTTTGTTTGTTTGTTTGTTTTGTTTTTTAGTTCCCACTGGGAGTAGGGATGGAGAAAGAATTTCTTCAGTATCTATTCTGGTTGACAAAAATGATATATTTGTATGTTGTAAAGATGTTTGCAATATCAATCAGATGACTGGAAAGTGAATAAAAATTAAGGCAACTGAATAAACTGTTCACACTGCACACCGCCCATGATATATCTCCCTGGTCCTCCAGCTTACCCTTTGGGCATGGGTCAGGGAAAGCTGCTTTTATTGGAAAGACCTTCATTTGCTCAGAGCACATTCTTTCCCTCCCTCCTCCCCTTCTGGTCCCTTCTTTTTGTTTTATCTTAAGAACATTCAGTTGCGCGTTCTGAAACATTTGATCACCGCTGTGAACAGATGAACGAAGTGTGTCACGGTGTGGCACTCATGAAAAACAGTGATTTTTGGTTTTTTCTAAAGAAAAAAACAGTAAGAAAGAACCCAAAAATATTCTTTAAAAAAATGAGGGGTAAACATTTGGGTAAATCATTATAAGGCTTAACAGTGTTTTGCAACTAAGCATTATTGTTCTGTATGTACCCAGAGACACTTAGATCAGAGTGGAATCCACATGGCTAATGGAATGCGACTGGACGGCCCTGCAGAGGCTAGTGGAGGTGACATACCATTTATTGGCAGTGCATGTGGAATTTCTGAGTGGCCACCCTGAGGTCTAGGTGGAGGTGGGGAATGGTACTTGAGACATTCCTCAAGGAAGGCCTCAGAAGCACCTTCAGAGTAGACTCTGGAATGACCTGTCAAGTTGCTTGGACCTCATGCTTTAAGTGCCTACATTACCTAACAGTGCTCAAGAGGTTCTCAATTGGAGGACCACACTCAAGCCCATGTCTGCCCTCCATCCCATTCCTGAATAATTGTGCATAAAGTTGGATTAACCTGAAGCAAGTCTGCATCCAAATGTGGCATTTGTAATCATAAAATTGATATGATGTGATGGAAGATATTTGCTACAAGGATACTCACTTGTTTCAAAACTAGATTTCAGGGAACCTGGGTTTGATCTTTCAAGACTTTTTGGTGGAAGGAAAAAGAACAGAAAAGGCACCCAAACTCAGACTGAATGATCAGAGCTTGAAAGCCTAGAAATCTTGTCCAGAGACGAGACAAGAAGGTGCCTTGCTCTGTGGAAGAGGCTAGAACACAGGAGGAAGTGTTTCCCCAAGCAAAGACTACAGCAACCCCCTGACCATTCTGTCTGTTCATGGCAAGGTTTCCTCTATACTTTTGCCATTTGGGCTTAGGAAAAGTCAGGTTAGTAGCCTGAATAGTATTCCTGGGAAAATGGACCCAGTGAAAATGAGTGCTAAGCCCATTTCCCCCATCAGCCTACTTCCAAGCATGAAAATGTTAGTGATTACTATCTGGACCAGGTTCTTAAGCATCAGAAAAAGCAGCAAGCAATTACTGCATCTTAGGAGGAGGGAGAGTGAACAAAAATAGATGACCACTGTAACTCAGGGAGTGAGGATACCATCAGCAAACAATTTCATTTTGTTCAGTTTTTTCTTTAGAGCTAGCCTGTCTTTCAGAGTACCACCAAATACCTGTCTTTAAAAGAAAGACTTTATGTAGCATAGGTTGTTTTGTGCCGTTTGACACTATTAATCTTTGTCATTGTTTTTAACCTATTAAGGAATGCTTGGAATATCTGCTATTTGTTAACTTTTTGCAGCTTCATTTTGAGAGACAGCATTTATCAGACAAACAGACAAATGAAAGAAATCTCATCACAATCATACAGTATTGCAGGGACCTGACCTCATAAGTGGTTTCATAGAAGACATTCAGCAATTGTGTGCTCAGTGGCGCTCTCTTTTACCCAATAAGGTACATCACAGTCACATGCTTGGTGGTTTATGTTGACTTAAGATTTATTCTTTTTTTTTGTTTCCGTTCGTTCTGGTTCTGTTCTTTTTCATTTTGTTTTTAAAGTCTTGCTGTGGTCTCTGTGGCAGAAATGTTTCATGCATGGCAGCAGGCCTGTTGCTTTTTTATAGTGATTTCCATTGAAACTGTAAGTAAATGTCTGTGGCCTTGTTCTCTCTATGGTAAAGATATCATTCACCATGTAAAACAAGAAAAAATATTTATTGTATTTTAGTATATTTATATAATTATGTTATTGAAAAAAATTGGCATTAAAATTTAACCACATCAGAAGCCTATTGTAAATAC